TTCCTCTTCTTCTTTTGCCCATCACGTTGGCTGTCAATGACGGAAGGCCACTTTCATTTTGTAGGAAAAGCAAATGAAACTTAACGGAAAAGAAAATTACATCATGCTCGTTTCAATGGGTCGACATAATATTATTTTCCTTCGTTTTTTTTTTTTTTTTTTTTTTATTATTTCTGCTCTTCTTCTGGTGCGCACCCACTGTTTGAGCCATATACACGTGCAAGTTGGCTCTCTCTTTGTGTGTGTGTTTGTGTGTGCTTCATCATCGTCTTCCTTCTGTCGATTTTTTATTTATTTATTTTATGCCTACGCACATACGCGCCAAGCAGTTTGACAGGTGTCGCCGACTGAGTGGCTGCCTGATAAGAGAGACGCGGGCGGACAGGCGGCTATGTGTGTGGAGGCGTGGTCTCTGTGTGTGAAAGCCTCGCGGGGTAGTTGGCATGGAATGAAAAATGTCGCCCTATTATTCTTTGTATTGTTTTTATGCGGCAGTTATACGTTTATTTTTGTTGTCTTTTAATAGACGTGGCAAAGTGCGCCCAAAAGACAAAGGCAGCCGAACAAGCGCTGGGGCTACTTTACCTACTCAATAAAAATAACAAAAAAAAAATAATAATAATAAAAACGGAAACCCCTCGCACAGACACAGGCAGACAGGCCACACCCAGCCCCTGTGCCTGGAGCCTTCGTCTGCTGGCGTTTTATCATCATCCAATCAGTAGATAAATAACACATAAAATGAGGTGCTTAATCGGGTTTGAAGTGATGAAAGTGAAACTGTGCTTCTCTCTCTCTCTCTCCCCCTCACGTTTGCCAGCCTGTCTGTATTGCGCTCTGTCTGTCTGTCGCCAAGGGGGCTGGGTCTTTGTCTTCGGCATAAATCTAAGGTAACAACTTTATATTTGTATATCAGTTACTTAAGAGCTTGTCAATTGCGCGTGACAACATAATTTACCATTAAATTGTACGCGTAGACAAGTAATTTGTCAACATTTATTTGCATTACATGCGAGAACAAGTTAATACAATTGATTGACAAGCAGCCACGCAGCTAATGTAAAGCACGCAATTTAAATATTGGCGCGCAGCCAAACGAAAGCGTAGTTAACGTCTAATTTAAATTTCACGGGCAACTTAACGAAAAGCTAGCTGAGATAAAATTTAAATTACGCGCTCAACTGAACGATAAGCAAGCTGAATTTATAATAGGTTGGCAGCACATACGATATATAATTCGGTGGTTGATCGAACGGCCGCCACATTGACAATCGATAAATCACACAGCTGTATAGTTTTTTTTTATGGTGTGTGCGCTCTTAGTAAGCAAACTTATTGTACGCAAACAGTATTAGAACCGCTGAAAAAATAAGAATAACAATTGGAAATAAATAAAATACAAGTCTATTGCACAAGCAATAAGAATTACGTGTTTATAAAATTGAGTACATATGCAGCAGTGGGTAAATAAATAGTATTAGTTGACGCCTCGCCGCTGCAGCGGAACACAGCTTGGAAAAGGCCAGAAAACGGCCAGGTAATGCAAAGCGAAAAAAAAAAACTAGACAAAATAAGTGCATTAAATTAGCATAATATTAAGATTAAACTTTGTACAGTTTATTTCTTGCGCTGTCCAACATGTGACTTGTTGAGCATTTATTGATTTTTATGTTAAATGTCTATAAATATAAATCAGAAGAACAATCGCCACAGCGAATGTCTCGACGCTGACAGCTGTTGTGGCTTTAAAAAAGCTAAACAACAAAAATACTCAGACCGCTTATCAGGTGTGAAGAATTCTAAATTGATGTGTTTTTTTATCGGTCAGCTACGCATTTATTGCGGGTGGTTATCATGCTAACGCCTCTTCCCCACCCACCAGAAGCTGTTAAGTGATTCGAACTGCTAATTGATCCAATTGCTTGTTAATCAATTTTGTCTACGATTTTGTGGCAGCTAAACAACCGACAAAAATCTATATGCTAATAACGTAATTATCATTTCACTTTGATTGCAGAAATGCCTCTTTAATCAAAATCAAATCAATTGTCAAAACAGAACATCAAAAATGAAACAGAAAAGCTGGCGACACAAGCATAAATAACTAAGTAAGAGTAAAAAAACGTTAGCTAACGGCAAATAAGGATACTAAAACGAAAGAAGGGAAGATGCTTGGACGCACGCAGAAACTGCTGCTGGGACTGGCCATCCTGTTGCTGGTCAATGTCCTCTGGGTATCATCCAGCGAGCTAAGCAAGGTATATATAGAAGAGACTCACGAAAATTTAAACTATTCAAATAAAAAACTCCATCTCACGCAGATTCTCTACGAGGACGATACATATAATAAGCCATTCTTTAGCACCTACTTCAAGACGTCGATGTTTAGCTTCTATTTGTTAATCATTGGCATAATAGCGCCCTGGAAGGAGTCGTGCGAGCGTCAACATGGCAACTATGCGGTTTGTATAGCCGATAGATGTCCTATAAACCATACTAATCTATTTAAAATACCCCATTTAGATGATGGAACAGAATGCCGATGAGGAGAACTATTATAGCAATCAGGCGTCTTTGGTTGGATAATCAACTCTTGGCTCTCTGATGGTTTCTAACTGGTTTCATTTGCCTTTGCAGGGGGACTCGACCTTTGTGCCCATACGTGTGGCCAATCCTATAAATGGCATTGTATCCGGCACGGAGAGCGATGATTCCAGTGTGCGTAGTGTTCGCTTTTGTAAGATGGCCGAGGTGCGTGAGATGTCAGCGCATGAGGCAACGGATGCTTTGATGGCTCGACTGTCGTATGCCGCGAGCATGAGGATTAAACGACAGAAAACGCACCACAAGACAGCAAAGACGGCGTTGCTCTTCTGCTTACTCTGGTTCGCTGCGAATTATTTCTCACAGCTCGCTTTGAATATGGATGAAGAGCCCATGATAACGCTCATCAGGTTGAGTCATATTCACTTCAGACTCAAATCAAGATGTTAACTAACGGTATATTCTTTTGCAGATCCACTTCAGCCACATTGTTTACCATATTGCTAGCTGCCCTGTTTCCGTCTGCCATGGGCGACAAGCTGACCATAACAAAGCTAATTGCTGCAACAATGAGCATTGCCGGCGTCGTGGTCATCAGCATGAATGATTTGCACGACTCGAAGATGACTCGCGGCGTTCTTTTGGCTCTGTTTAGTGCTTTCTTCTATGCTTCGTATTTGGTGTTTGTCAAGCGAAAAAGTGACACCGAGGAAAAGGTGGACATTCCCTTGTTCTTTGGTAAATACGACAAATAAGTCCATAGGATCTTCTAGTCAAACAGTCTCGACTGGATCATTCTTATTTGCGTATAATATTTATTTTGTTTGCATTACAGGCTTTGTTGGTCTTTGGAATCTGTTGCTGCTATGGCCCATTTTCTTTATATTACATTTCACCAAGATCGAAACATTTGAGATGCCCAGCCAGGGACAGTTTGGCATGCTCTTCTTAAATGGCTTCATTTGCACAGTGCTCGCTGTGGCTCTCTGGCTGTGGGGCTGTTTCCTCACCTCCTCGCTAATTGGCACGCTAACCATGTCGCTGCAAATACCTTTGACAATTGCATTTGATGTTCTGCTCAAGCAAAAGCCGTACTCTTCATTATATTGGATGGGCTCGATGGGCCTGATAATGTCAGTGCTGCTTGTTGTTTTGCTAATGCGCAACGATGATTCAGATCCGCTTATGAAACTATTCAAAGTTTTATATAGAAAGATCTGTGGTTGCCGCAACCCAAACATTGTGAGGTAATATCCCATGCTATATTTATATTTTGGTGTTTATTCCTATTAATTTTCGACTTAATCACAATGTTTTAATTTATAGAGTTGCCGACGATGAGCAACAGGAATCTCTTATCAATAGCAGCGATTAAAGTCTGACTATTGATTTTCTGGAAAGGCTTTTGGAAAACGCGCTTTCTCAACAATTTTAAAAATTGCTCACTGCAATTGCAATGCAAATCCAAAACTTGGCTGTTCACGACTTCGTTTCGAATCGTTCTTTAATCCATAGCGACAAATATATATACACATACATGTAATATATATATTTATATATATACATATATGTATGTACGTAGTTGTAGTTAATACTTTGCACAACTCTCATATATATACATTTAGCTATAGCAAAATCTTCCTGATTGGCTTTTAAGTTGAAACCCTGGCTTTCCTGATTTGCAATTTTACCTACAATTAAGCTAATATATGTGTATATCTTATATTTATTATAAATGTTATTATTTTTTGTGTAAATAGCTGTAATCTTAGTGTTTATCTCTCTATATGTGATAGGTCTTTCGATATGCTGAAGCTCAGTTATAGTTTATGCTAAATTTAATGTTTTTGCTATAGTGCTCGACTCTATAATTGATATTTATACACCCGCATATATATATACTTGTACACATACCCTCCATACTCAATTCTAATATTTCTAATGTTTTGTGTCGGATATACTTTGTATATCATGCATAGAACACTTTATGTATTAATGATATATACTGCAAAATGTGTTAATAATATAGTATAAATACCCACACATAATAATATATGTTTAAAACAATGTAAAGCTGCCTAACTTTGCAGTTGAGTCCCATTTGTGTGCTTAATTTAGCATAAACATATACATTTATGCATAGTTGTCTATTGTTAACAATAAACAAACAAAAAATACAGTAATATTTAACCCCAATACTGAATTTCCACATGTAATTAATAAAAGTGCATTAGTATGTATATAAATTCCGTTTTACTATTGTCAAACAGCAAAAAATTCCACTCCAAATAAATAAAACAAACAAAAAATTTTAAAACTAATTTCTGCGCCCACATTTATAGCTGCTATCGATATTTCATGAAGCTTTACAGCACTAAAATGCTCTCATCACTGTTTAATAGCATAAAGAGTCTCTGCTACTTACAGAGGTGCAGCGGCAACTAACATAAATGAGCGAACTCAGTCTGATTCTAGCGTCTGAATTGTGTGGACGTGTATTCATTTTGTGGGAAAAGAAAAGTTGGAATAAAAATGAAGTTTTCTCTGGCTTTGTGCCTGATTGCCATTACAGCCGGCATTGTGGTTGCGGATGAGAGCAAAGGACCCAAAGTGACCGACAAGGTAAGCACAAACAACCACATACACACAATTACGACTATATTGTGTGTACCTGCGTCACTTGGTATACACAAACACATAAATCAACTGCGCGGCTGTTGTTTTTGTTCTCTCTTAAATATTCAAAAAGTATTCTTTATGAATGTGTCTTTGTTGCGTAGGTTTTCTTTGACATCACCATTGGCGGTGAGGCAGCAGGTCGCATTGAGATCGGTTTGTTTGGAAAAACTGTGGAGAAGACCGTGAGGAACTTCAAGGAGCTGGCTGAGAAGCCACAAGGCGAGGGGTAAGTGAATATAAACACAGTTAGAATTCACATAAACACACACACACGCAAGTAGTTAAGATAGCTGTAGCTGTATGCATACACACTATTTCTATATACATGTATGTGTGTGTGTGTTTCTCTATATAGCTGCATTTATAGGTTAGAGCCGGCGTGTATTGCTATCAATTACGTGGCCTTTAACTGTAGATGAGTTAACAAAAGAAGGAAATTAAGTTATTTATCAACTGAGAGCTTACACTAATATGCCCATTGTGCCACTGTGCCATTTCTTCTGCTTATCATTTCTATAGCTACAAGGGCAGCAAGTTCCATCGCATCATCAAGGACTTTATGATCCAGGGTGGCGACTTCACCAAGGGCGACGGCACTGGCGGCCGTTCCATCTATGGCGAGCGCTTCGAGGATGAGAACTTCAAGCTGAAGCATTATGGCGCCGGCTGGTTGAGCATGGCCAATGCTGGCAAGGACACCAACGGTTCGCAGTTCTTCATTACCACCAAGCAGACCAGCTGGCTGGATGGCCGTCATGTGGTCTTTGGCAAGGTTCTCTCCGGCATGGATGTGGTGCGCAAGATCGAGTCGAGTGCCACAGACGCACGCGATCGTCCCGTCAAGGATGTGGTCATCGCCAACAGCGGCACCATTCCAGTTCCCGAACCCTTCGCCGTCTCCAAGACTGATGCCACAGAATAAGCAATATCTATATATATAAATATACCTACCACTCGCATATATACATATTAGTGTGGCTTTTAAACGAAATGTCTTCTTGAAACATAATCAATTCAAATTATTGTCTTGGAGCGTGCTCTAGCATACATCAGCAATCGATTTTTCTCAGCGTTTGAGTTGAGAATTGCATTTAAATTAACAATTACAAATAACAGCAAAATACTATACTGTAAGCGACATACTCTCTGCTCAAAACAACAAACTTTTTGTCAAATTTGCAATACATTATAATTAAAGTTTTGTGATAAAAAAAAAGCAGCGGAGAAAATTTGATTCGTGTTAAGGGATTGGTTGGGTGCTGCGGTTCATTGAACTGGTTTTTTCATTACTACTTGTCGCTATCTCCCTCTAACGGAACCGGTTTAGCAACAGCCGCTTCTTCTTCTGGTGCCGCGTTTGCAGCTGACTTTGTCGCTAATTTCTGTTCCCTGTTTCTTTCTCTTTTCATTATTGTGCTGCGCTAGTTTGTTGCTATTGTTTAATTTGTTTGTATTTTTTTATGTATCAAAAAAGCTGACACAGTTGTCTGTTGGCAATTCGTGTCACGTTCTTTAGCAGCAGAACGTCAACGAGCTGAGCAAATATTTATATATATATTAATGCGTTTGTCAATGCCAATTTTAGCTCACGAAGTTCTAAAGCAGCCTTGGTTTACAAAAAAAAAAAAAAAAGATGAGACACTTGCTGACTAGCATGAAACCAGTTCTTGCACGAATCCAATCAGAACGGTGCATACCAATAAGATATTGCTGCGATTTCGTTTTCTTAGCTCTTTGAATGAATAAGAATTATTATTATCCCTTTCCAATAAGACTTACTCTTTTGACTACCCTTTTAATTAAACAAAAACTAAACATGATTTTGCTGTTATCATGCATTTGCTCTCTTTAAGTCTTAAGTTCAAAATAAATCAATCACACTCAATGCTTATATTGCCATTGAATTAAAAATATAAAATATTATCTAATCGCCATGCGAATCAGACTGACTGGTTTCAAATTAGAAAACATCGTTATCAGGCATTTTCTATTATTTTAACCCATAAAAACTAAAAAAAACACTTAATTGTTTACATTCTCCATACTCTAATGATGCACGCAGTGCATCAACCCCAAAGAGATATTCCAGCTTCCAGTTGCTGCTCGCCTATTCCAATTGGAATATATGGTATAAATGTTTATACAGAATGCATTAAAACCTAGAAATGTAATGATGATCTGTATATGTATATATTCGGCGAGCAGTTGCAGCAATTAAATATATATGTAAATAAGTCCACTCGCCCGCTCCAGTTACATGCAACAGAGAGCCAATCGGAGTGAGAGAGAGAAAAAGAGAGAGCGCGCGGATCTTGGAGTGGCTCCCCAATATATAAAAAATTGCCTCAGTCAGTGCAATTGTATCCCCCATTTATATAGATGGTATATACATATGTATGCATATGTGTATTGTTTATGTCGGCTCACAATCTCATGTGCCACACATGTTTCCCACATTCAGAGAGAGAGAGAGAGACTGCGATAGGGAATAAGTGAGAGGGGGAAGAGAACTACTCATATGTACATCTACAATAACCACACAAATTCTAAGATTATTTACTGCGAGCGATCGAAGCGAGGAGACAAAGTGCTTGCATGGAATATTCTAAAGAGCCGAAAGAAAAAAGGATTGTGGAACGAAAATCTTGGGAAACTGCAGTTTCAGTTATAAAGGATTAAAGACGAAAGAGAGTTAAGCTTAAGCAGTTTATTATGGTGAGTTACGAGTGTATAAAGTGTAAACGCAGAGCAGATCCGGCAATTTCTATATATATATTTTTTTGATAAGCAAACGAACTGAGAGCAGTCGCTGATGATGCTGTTGCTGATGTGTACCAATCAAATCTTTCTAAGACGAACATAATTGAATTTCTAAATTCATTAAAGATTGTGAATTTGTTTAAAGTAAAACTACATATATATATTAATGAAATCCAAATCTAATCAAACAGGAATTTGCATAAGAAATTTTCAAAAGTCTTTATAACAACAATGCTTCAGTGCTATATGGGTGAAAGCATTTGATTAATAAGCGTAAGCTTAGTTAGGAGAAACAGAATGATTTATATAGCTATAAATAAGGAGCTCATAGGCAAGCAAGAGGGCAGAGAATATATTAGAGAAAGGGAAAACTTTACAGAAATTAGAGACACTTAGTGATAAAACTGAATATTAAATGAGGTAAATAAGAAGCTAAGCACTACATAGAGGAAGTATAGAGCAATATCACAGCAAGAAAATACAATTGAAATTGAAGACCATACAATATATAAATCTAAGAACTTTAGCAATGGAAAACCGACTAAGACCTCTTACAATTTACATATATCTAAAAGAGAATTGCAAATACAAAATATAAATATAGTACAATGTAATATAAATTTAAATAAGTAACCTACCTGATCTCCATATGAATACATTCATCTATTCACATATACGTTATATATCTTTACCGACTCCACATTAACAGCAATCGAAATCATGGTATGCGCTTTATCTAGCGCTGCTCAGTCTGCTGCTAGGATTGGGAGACTGTCGTGGCGCCAATATACTCGTGCTCTTTCCACATGCAAGCGAAAGTCATTTTGCTGTGATGCGCACCCTGGTGGCCGAGCTGGCAAGCAGGGAGCATAATGTAAGCATGTATATCGAAGGTCAAATGATTCTTATCATCATATCCAAATCCATTGTAGTTAACTGTTTACAGCGGTCATGGCCTGAATGATAACTTGGAGCGAGTTGTGGAGCATGTTGTACGGCCCGAATTTGACTTTTGGAGCAACTGTAAGCAAAACGAATATTGAGTCACATATAAAAGTAAACATCACTCTCTTTACCACAGTGCAAGAGCAAGCAGCACCTGGTGGCAGCCTTGAAGATTTGGCCCTTTTGTCCGAGAGAAAACTTCGCAGTTCCTTGGCTTCGGTTGGAGCTCGAGCAGTAGAACACTTTTTGGTGCAGGCTCCGGTGCAGAAGCTGCTAGAGCTGTCCACTGCGGAATTCGATTACGATCTAATCATTGTTGACTATTTCTATACAGAGGCGCTGCTCGCGTTGGGCTATAAGCATAATAAGCCCACAATTGGCGTAATAAGCACGGATTTTGGCAACTATATGAATGCAGTGCAAGAGGCTTTGCTGCCCGTTGCCTGTTCGCCCATAGATTACGAGGCGTATACCAAGGATTTGGGTTTCTCGGCACGATTGAGCAATATACGCGAGTGTATGGCGAGACGTAAACAATTTTACAATGAACATTACACGGCACAGGAAAAAATTATACGCAAACACTTTAAAAGTAAGCTTTCGACTTGGCGGCAGTAACTCTGTCAATGACAAAAGTTTTTCATTGATGTGGCAGCACTCAACATTGCTTTAATCGATATTCACTAATTGATTAATCATCGATGTATTTATGCCTTAAGTGTTTTGAATTTGAACCTAATGCGGCTTATTGAAATTTCTTGCAGTTGCTGTTAACATACCAGAACTTCAGGCACATCATTTGGCGCTTTTACTGCTTAACAATCATGTGCCCCTGTGGACGCCACGTCCGTTGCTCCCACAAATTGTGCCAGCTGGTGGGCTGCATATACGCGGTCCTCGCGAATTGATGTGGAACGTCAAACGATTTGTGGAAGAGTCTAAAAATGGAGTCATCTACATACAGTTGGGCAACGAACAGCCCTGCGGTCAACTGCCCCAGCCGAAGCTACAAATACTCTTTGATTTTATGAGTGCTCGCAAGGCGCGTTTCATATGGACCTGCCACGACGTAAAGACTCTGCAGGGCCTGCCCAAAAATGTGCTCATTCAGCACTCTGTGCCACAGATTGACATCCTAGCACATCCCCACGTGCGAGCTTTCATCATGAACGGGGATCTGTTGAGTCTGCAGGAGGGCATTACGCGTCATGTGCCGATGCTGGGTTTGCCTAATTTCCGGAATGAACGCAAAAATATGCAACTGGCTGTGGATCTGGGCGTTGCGCTGCAACTGGAGCCAAGCAACTTTACGACAGCCGCACTCAACTGGGCTCTGGATGAGTTGACAAAGCAACAGCATTTTCAGCTTACCATTCGTGAGGTTTCCAGCGAATTCCGAGATAGGCCTTTGGGCGCCTTGGCCAATGCCTTGTTCTGGGTGAATTATGTGGTACGGCACAGGGGCGGCGCTGCGATCAGGACACGTGGCATAGATATTGCCTCTAATCATTTGCACCTTTTCGATTTGTTTGTATTTTATTTCGGTGTGGCCATTACTGTTTGTGCCGTATTGATAGCCATCTACTTTGGAGTCTTTTATGCCATGCAAAGAAAACGTAATGATGCCAAATTAGCAAAACTAAGTTAAATTTACGTTAAAATTTAATAAAAGCTAAAGCAAAATAAATAAATATGTTTGCTTTAACCGATTTGAATTTGCGCCATTTACAGAGTTGCACTGCATCCGATAGTCAGGTATACAATACAACCCTGTCAAATTAAAAGTGCTGCCAAGTTTTCGACAAACGACGGTGGCCATCTTCCTTTCTAAAGAATCGCGTTCGCACAGCAGACGTGTTTAAAACCTTTTCGAGTGTTTTAAAAGGTAATAATTGTTTCAATTTATGCGCAAATGCCCTAAAAATGTCCTACATATTGTGTGAATGCTACGATATATGAATGCAGGCTGACTAAACGTGTTTACGGCGTGTGGTGAGCGCAGCGTGTCACACGTGGAGTCTCGAGTTGCTCAGCGGAGCTGCTAACCCATTGAGGTTATGTTGAAAACAGAAACAACAATAAATAGCCTGTGAACTGTGACAATATGCATATTGGTGTATAAAATCCTAGTCTAATTTGTGTGTGTATATATCTTGCAGCTCCGTCAAAATGTCGACTGGTACAACTGCCACAATTCGCACCCGCAAGTTCATGACCAACCGTCTGCTTGCCAGGAAACAAATGGTCTGCGATGTCCTCCATCCCGGACTCTCATCGGTAAACAAGACCGAGATTCGTGAGAAGCTCGCCGCCATGTACAAAGTGACACCCGATGTTGTGTTTACTTTCGGTTTCCGCACTAACTTCGGTGGTGGCCGCTCCACTGGCTTTGCCCTGATCTACGATACTCTGGACTTTGCCAAGAAGTTCGAGCCCAAATACCGTCTGGCTCGTCACGGTCTCTTCGAACAGAAGAAGCAAACACGCAAGCAGCGCAAGGAACGTCGCAACAGAATGAAGAAGGTCCGTGGTACCGCCAAGGCCAAGATCGGTACCGGCAAGAAGTAAAACAATCTAGCTGGCACATCAATATGATATTGTGTGTGTGTGTGTTGCTGGTGGCGCGCACCTGCAATTCCAAAAATTAACGGCTGCGTTAGTTGTACTTCTTTTATAAATCCAATGACAACAAAAAAATCCGTTGTTTACTTTTTGGAGCGGCTTTTGTTTTATATGCTTAAGGAAATAAAACTCTAAAAGTAAATTACATTCATGTCTTCGCATATCTAATTGTGTAAAATTTGAAATATTATACAGAATTGTACATATTTAGCTAACTTAAGGCAACAATTGCCGTAAACAAATATATAATGCATTTTTAGTTGCTACGACAGCACTGCCATACTTGTCAAAGCACAGCACGTTCTAAGTGGCAGCACACAATTTGTAACAGTCTGGCCACATCTGCCGAGCCTTTCAACCCTACTAGCAACGCTACAAAAATTTATTTGCAAAAAAAAAAAACGAAACCGGAAAAAGTTTCATATACAGAAATTGTATAAAATTGTTATAAATGTCTATTGCTAGGCTGGCCAGCATAATCGACAATTATTCGTAGCACCGGCCTCACAACTTTCAGTTTTGGGAAATGTCGATTTTAGGGAGTGGAGGTGGTGGCAGTGGAAGCAGTGGCGGCGGCAGCGGCATCAGCGTCTCGGCTGGCGATTGGATTTGCCCAGATATTGAGTGAGTGCGCGTAAAGCTTCAAGCGTAAAGATCTATGGGCAAAATGCAAAGCATCCAGCACTACAACAACAACTACAAACTACATACTACCCTTCTATCTCCCTTTCTAATATAACCGACAAAAATGCAATAACAATATATTTGTTGTTTTGTTACTCTTATTCTTCCTCCAACCGCATCTGTGTGTGGCATGCGTCTCTTTCGCTCTCTTTCTCTCTCCTACTCTCACTGAATGTGTGTTGCAGCTGTCGCCATTTGAACTTTGCGCGTCGCCTTCAATGTAACAAATGCAATCGGGAACGTGAAAATATCAACAATGAGAAACTCGACAGAGATCGAGATCGAGACCGAGGCAACGGCAGTAGCGGCAGCAGCAGCAGTTCTTCCAAAAAGAAACTGGGCACAGAGATTGGAAAAGTAGCCGCAGACAAATCACGAGGACTATTCAGCGCAGAGGATTGGCAGTGCAGCAAGTGTGCAAATGTGAATTGGGCGCGACGGCAGACTTGCAACATGTGCAACGCGCCCAAATTCACAGATGTGGAGGAGCGTACAGGTAAGTAGATGCAGTAGATGCCATAAAGTTAGCCAACTAACTGAATCCAATCGCTGGCAGGCTTCGGTGGAGGCTATAATGATCGTGGCGTTGTTGAGTACAAGGAACGTGAGGATTCGGACAGCGAATATGATGAATTTGGACGGCGCAAGAAGCGTAAAAATAATGATAGGGGTGGCGATGAGGATAGTCGCAACAGAGGCAGAGATGAGCCGAAACGTGCACGACGCAGTGATATTGAGGGTGATGAGGATGAGGAGGAGGATGATGAAGACGATGATGGAGACTTGTCCAAATATGATTTGTGGGGCGACAATGAGGTGAGCTCCAGCAATGTGAAGAGCAAGGAAACAGACAACGGGACTAGCAACAACAGCAGCAGCGCCAAGGAGAAGCTAATGCCAGGAACAACTGCCACCAGTAAAAGGGCATCACGTGCATCCACCTCGTCCATTTCCTCATCATCCTCAACCAGTTCGTCCAGTTCCAGTGACTCATCGTCAACCTCCTCGTCGAGTAGCTCAAGCAGCAGCAACGCTTCCAATAGCAAGCGTGACCGGAAACGTTCAGATGGACGTTCCCGCTAGGGACGGGGATCCACTCGATTCGAATCTCCGTTGGAAGAGAATTAATCTTGTTTTTTCTTCACTTTATTGTGAAAGCTAACAATTGTTTATTTATTTTTCTAAGCCTGCGCCACTCACCCATGACATGTATTTGAGCTCCACCACTTCAAACCCTCTGCAAGAAAATCAATAAAATCATATAATTTAAGAAATTGTCGTTCAACTTGACTTTATTGCAAGTAAACTATTTAATGGAAGGTTTCATCCGATTGCTTGCGTGTGGCGGCTGCTGCTGCCTCACGCAACTCTTGAAGCTGTGCTAGCTGCTGGCGCGCCTCCTCGATCTGCTCTTCCGTGACAGTTACAGGAACATCGCAATCGATCTGCTCCTGGCGGATGAATTTCATCTTCTTGATGGCATCCTCTAAGAAAGGTATTTGTTGCTCTTGTAGCTCTTTGTGATAAGCCTCTAAACGCTCATCCTTGATTTTCTCGCAGTAAATGTCGGTTAGCTTCTGCAGCGACTCTTTTCGCGTTATCCAGTGGAACTTTGTTGGCGGTGGCTTATAGACCAAGTCCAGCTTCTCCAAAATCCACTCGAAACGTCGGTAATCCCAGCGTCTGAGATATTTCAAAAACTTCTTACGCTTGTCGATCATCTCCTTTAGACGCACTTTGATCATCTTGTCGCGTGGATGCACCTCCATGTGTGACTGAAAGCGTCGTATGAGTGCCGTCATCCTGGCCACTATTGCAGGAGTAGACAATAGAGAAAGGTAATATCATATTTAATCCAATTATTTCCATGTGGTGGCTTACATATGATTTCTCATAAACTACTTACATTTGGCCTCCATAGAGCCATAGTCTTGTGCATGCCGCTGCACTTCCTTGATCATTAGGTCGCGATAATAGCGCGTTGTTAAATTGTTCGGATTATTCCTAAGCAAAAACATGGATTTGACTGTTTCATTGGCACTGCAAGAATATAATATTATTACATATGCTTGTAGATGTATATTGATAGATTACTAACTTGGCCAACTCCTTGGAATCTTTGTAATCCGGCAACAGTTCATTGGGATTCAGCGGTGGCAGCTTAGCCAGATCGCCACTTTTTTCTGGCTTTATGCACGATATCTTTTCGGGTCGTACCCATTTTATTTTCAGATCCGACTTGAACGCATAGTCACGCACAAATTGGCGTGGCACAGCGTGTGCTATATTTAATAGCTTATTCATAAATAACAATTTTTAATATTACACCTTGCTGCTTGAGGTTATATCACTGAGCCAGTGTATCACTGAGCCAGTGTGCACACACTCGACAAAATTTATTTACGGCCATACCAGCTGACTTGAAACAGTGTGACCTACTATGCGGAAATACTCCAAAACAGCTGCAGTAGTTGCTTTTTCCTTTTTGTGTGCGTCTGTTAATGAGACCAGAAAGTAAAGTAATTGGGAAGTTGGGAAATATCAAACTTTTTTATTACATTGGATTTGTAATATTTTACAATGGCGCACATGTCACATATGCTACCACAAGCGTCAACAACGCCAGTCGTTTCAACTGGCAGCTCGTCTCGTACAATGTCGCTAATGGAGAAACAAAAATATATCGAGGATTATGATTTCCCTTACTGCGATGAAAGCAGTAAATACGAGAAAGTGGCAAAAATCGGGCAGGGTACATTCGGGTAAGTTATAGTAACCAGCTTATGTCAAAAATGTATTTTCTTATTGTTTCGTTTACAACGCAGCGAGGTTTTCAAAGCACGTGAAAAAAAGAGTAACAAAAAATTTGTTGCCATGAAAAAGGTGCTTATGGACAATGAAAAGGAAGGCGTAAGTAACCACTGATGACATGAGGGAATTGAAAGAAAATATATATATTATTTGGTAGTTTCCCATCACGGCTCTGCGTGAGATTCGCATCTTGCAACTGCTAAAGCACGAGAATGTGGTCAATCTCATAGAGATATGCCGCACCAAGGCTACAGTGCACAACGGATATAGATCGACTTTCTATTTGGTCTTTGATTTCTGTGAGCACGATTTAGCTGGTCTGCTGTCCAATATGAATGTTAAATTCAGTTTGGGAGAAATTAAGAAAGTGATGCAGCAGCTGCTCAATGGACTCTACTATATACATAGTAATAAGGTACGTACATACCTTAAAAGCATAAATGATTTAACTTATTCAGAATTCATTAACAGATTCTACACCGTGACATGAAAGCTGCCAATGTGCTGATCACAAAACATGGCATTTTGAAACTGGCCGATTTTGGTTTGGCCCGTGCATTTAGCATTCCTAAGAACGATTGCAAAAATCGTTATACAAATCGTGTTGTTACCCTGTGGTATCGTCCGCCGGAATTGTTGCTCGGTGACCGCAACTATGGTCCGCCTGTAGATATGTGGGGAGCGGGCTGCATTATGGCTGAGATGTGGACTCGTTCGCCCATTATGCAGGGCAACACAGAGCAGCAGCAGCTTACCTTTATATCACAGCTGTGTGGTTCCTTTACCCCAGACGTTTGGCCGGGTGTCGAGGAGCTCGAGCTGTACAAATCGATTGAGCTTCCAAAGAATCAAAAACGTCGTGTCAAAGAGCGCCTGCGTCCGTATGTCAAGGATCCCACTGGTTGCGATTTGCTAGACAAACTGTTGACTCTGGATCCAAAGAAACGCATCGATGCGGACACAGCACTGAACCACGACTTCTTCTGGAACGATCCGATGCCTAGTGATCTGAGCAAAATGTTGTCGCAGCATTTGCAAAGCATGTTCGAATACCTGGCGCAGCCGCGTCGCAGCAATCAAATGCGCAATTATCATCAGCAGCTGACCACAATGAATCAGAAGCCACAGGATAATAGCATGATCGATAGAGTCTGGTAGATTGTAAGCCCTACATTAAGTTTAGATATTAACGTATACAATTGTAATTGCTGCATATGCAGCGATTTGAGGAATTTCAGATTCAAATGTTTATCAACAAAAAAATAAAAAATATATACTGTTAGTGCGCAAAACAAGCAGAAGGCTTGAATGGCAAACATTTCCATACAAAACCTAAAACCAAATTATTTATGAATGGCAAATGAAGGGAGCTGCTAGAAAGGTACATAAATATTTTCATACAGAATAATGATAATCTTCAGATTAGTTTACTTTGAGCTGCATACCGACCGTGCACTTGAACATACTAGTGTGTACACACTCATGTCAATTTTTTGGTATTTTTTAGGCCCGTTCTGGACGAGATGCACATTGAACAAAAAACGAACAAAGTGAAAAAGGCAGAGAAAAAGCAACGACGCAGCTTGGCAATTATAAAAGCCGACTGTAATGTCTCGCAAAGTGACTCGCCCACTCTCTACTTGGCCATACTCAACGTGGGACTTAGCAATGGACTCTCCGAAGAGGCGCTGCTCACCGCAGCCGCTGCAACAGGCGGTCAGGTGTCTCAGGTGCTGATGTTGCCTTCGAAATCGTATTGTTTTCTTATGTGCACCACATTGGCGGATGCGCAGCTAGTGTACGATGGCATGCATAATCGGGCGACCATTGGTCAGAAAGGTGCCGTTGCCTATCTTAGCTATGTGTTGGAATTGCCGCAGCAGAGAGAAGAAAACGGCTGGCAGAAGCCTCTGCCAGGTGGACTGGTGTTGCTGCCGGATTTCGTCAGTGAGGCGGAGGAGGCAGCGTTGCTAGAAGCAATCGCTGTTGGTACTGCCAGCCCTACGGACAGCCTAAAGCACAGGCAAGTCAAGCATTTTGGCTACGAGTTTCTCTACGGCAGCAACAATGTGAATCCGTTACAACCCCTCGAGCAGGGTATTCCAGCAGCTTGTAATTTCATGTGGGAGCGCTTGGAGTTGCCAGCATTTGAGCCACCCGATCAACTCACAGTCAATGAGTATGAAGCAGGACAGGGTATACCGCCGCACGTGGACACGCATAGCGCCTTCAAGGATCCTATACTGTCGTTGTCACTGCAATCTGATGTTGTGATGGACTTTCGTCGCGGAGATCAGCTCGTACATGTGCTGCTCCCACGGCGTTCGCTGTTAGTCATGTCAGGGGAGTCACGGTATGATTGGACACATGGCATCCGACCGAAGCATATCGATGTAGTGGCCACGCCATCGGGCAGTCTGACAACTCAAGCACGTAGTAAGAGAACCTCTCTTACCTTCAGGCGTCTACGTCGTGGTCCTTGTGATTGTCAATATCCCACGCTGTGCGATACGCAACAGACGGCAACTCCTCAAGAGGTGTGTGATAAGCTGGCCACCCATGCCAGCCACCTGGAGCAGCAGAATGTACATGAAGTCTATGACAAGATTGCAAACCATTTTAGCGATACGCGTCACACACCCTGGCCACAAGTTGCCGAGTTCCTGAACTCTTTTGAGCCACAATCTGTGCTGCTGGACGTGGGCTGTGGCAATGGAAAGTACTTGGGCTGTAATCCTCAACTGCTGTCCATTGGCTGTGATCGTTCGCTGGGCTTGCTGGGCGTGGGAAACGCACGCGGCCTTTCGGTCTTTCGTTGCGATTGCTTGCAGCTGCCTGTGCGCAGCTCCAGCATCGATGGTTGCATTAGCATTGCGGTCATTCATCATCTGGCCAGCAGCGAACGTCGGCTAACAGCACTTCGTGAGCTCTGTCGCGTGCTACGTCCAGGTGGAAGGGCGCTCGTCTATGTTTGGGCCAAGAATCAGCGTAAGAACGACAAGAAATCGACGTATTTAAGGCAAAATACAGCCGTCAATAAGGAACACACAACGGAGCAGGCGCAGCGTCAGAAGCTTGCACGACAGCTGGAAAGCATGGATCAGCAGTTGCCAGTTCCTTTACCAGTGCACACGAACCGAACGGAGTTCCAGCAGCAGGATGTCTATGTGCCATGGAAAACCAAAGATGAACAGCGTACAACCTTTCTACGCTACTATCATGTGTTCGAGGAGCTGGAACTGGAAAAGTTGGTGGATCAAATGGAAGGAGTTGTGATTAGGAAAAGTTACTATGATCAGGGCAATCACTGTGTGATCTTTGAAAAAAGCTAAAATTTAAAATTGATAGATAATATAAGACTAAAGACAAACCTCTTTCGAGTTCTATGTAAATATGTTTATCTGATTATCACTTGATAATGTAAATGCTGTAAATTTTTCAATAAAAATATGTTCATGCAACGTAAATTCTGTAAATAACTGAAAAGCTGTCAATTGAATGAATTATTCCGTTTATTTGATTTCAAAAAATACACATCCACATTATATTTATTTAATAGCGAATCGAACGTAGACCAATTGTAAATTAATTAAGCTTAACTCTGACCCATTCAAATGGTTTGTTTATAATTATTTTGTATTTTTATTATTATTGTAGCTTTGGACCATAAATTGACAATTCCTTAATAACAACATGTGTTCCGTTCGATAATCCAGTTTTTCCTGTTATATTTGGTATGGATTCTATTTTAGATGCAGGGATTAAAGAGCTTATTGAGTAGGTACATGTGCGGGTGTCTATACATAAGAATTGATTTAGACAGAAAGTTGACAGTTTATAGTTTATATAGTAGTTAGTATAAGTTATTAGGGGATTGAATTAAGCAAATATATTGCTTTAAAAAATTGAAGTAACATAACTAAAATATAAATAACTACCTAGAGAAAAGAGAGCAAATGGTTTTCTGTGCTGCCATCAGTTCTATATATAATTCATATAACTATCATATACTAGGTACATCAAGTGAAACTGTTTGAAAATGCATGCTTAACAACTAAAAGGATACTCATACATACACCTATATTTATATATATATATATGTATATCTCTATAGAATTATATATCTTTAAAATGACGTCTTTATAATAAACGTACAAGTACAAGAGTTTTAAAAACACTTAGAACTCATCCTGGGCACTTTCTTACTTGACAATTCTATATTACAATATCGTATTGTAGGAATTTAAGTTTATAGACTAGTTTTACAGTTTCAACGTTTCGTTTTTGGTCGTGGGTATTTGATATGTTAGCTAGTAGTAGGTAAGAGTAAGTTAAGTTAGTAACGCTTTCGACTACCTTCAATTGTTCTTTGTGCCTACAAGCTATATAGTGGGGTTCATTCTCAACTACCTCTAGGGTACATACGTGTATAGACTACTAGTGAAAAACATAGAGGTGTATATAGATGTATAAACATGTGTTGGTGCCCTAGGTTTTGGCTATAGCTAGTCATATTCAAGTGTATGTGTGTATATATATATATATAGATATAGAAGAGAACATGTAAAGATATATATATATATCGTATATAACGTCATCAACAGGTTTTCAAGTCTGCCTATGTCTAGGGTTAAACCAGAAATTCTTTGTAATATATTAAAGCCTGATAGTTTACTTGTTTGTCGTTAAAGCTGATTCATCAGTTGTGTGTGTGTTTGTCTGTTTATAATGGCTTATAAAACACATCATCTATAGTTCGTATATGTATACTTCAGTCGTTGTTGAATATACAAAGCTTTCCTGCAATTTATTGATGCCCCTCTTTCATTTCCCTTCATGGTTTGGTACATAAACTACGTCTATGCCTACGTCTATTCCTAGTAATACGTTTACAACTAGTTTTAACTGCCTGAAGCGGCATTTAAATCCCGTTCAGCTTCACCGAAACACTTATTTGAGCAGCTGGCATACTTCTAAACCACAATTCCATCTGAGTCAAGGATAGCGTGTGTGTGTGTGTGTGGGTGTGGGTGTGAGAGTAGGTGCTAAGGATAGTGTAAGATTTGCGATTGTGACTGGGGGTCCAGTTTGCCTTGAGTGAGCGCGCTTAGATAAATGTTTCGGCTGCCATTTGTTACAAGCATTCTGCCAGCGGCGGCTTCTCAATGGGCGGCGATGGGCCCGACACTGAAACCATTGGCACGGCGCTAATCTTCGGCTTGATAATCTTCAAGCCAAGGCTCAAATTCTTGGGACTGCTGTGCGGCGATGAGGATGCCGTCGATGAGCGCTGATGCACCAGCACACGTGGCTTGGCCTCAATGGCAATGCTGGGCGTGGAGGCGACCGAAACGGAGGATGCTGTAGCCGTTGCACTGGCCAGCAGTGGAACGTGCACCAGTTCCTCCACAGTTTCCGCTGAATCCTGTGAATCGTGCACCAGAGCCGATGTATCACTGTGTATGAGAGCTGATATCGAGGTGGCATCATCATCTTGCATATACGGCGGTGGAGCCTCCAGCGAAATGCTGCCCACGATAACGTTGGCCGTGGTTATGGCAGAGGATCGAGCTAGTAAGCTAGTTACGGCTGTAGGCGATTGTTTGGCGTCGTGGAGTACGGGCAGCGTGAGCAGTTCACCGGCATTGGCGCCACACTCCTTCATCTCAATGTCCTGGGAGGAGTTTTGCTGCTGTTGCTGCTGGACGGAGTCATCGTCGGTGCGCCATGGACGCAGACTCTTCTGCAAGGCAAATATTTCATCAATAAGATTCTTTGTTTTATCACGACGGTTTACCCTGCGTCCATTTTCGGTAATATTCTCTGCACTCTTGGCCTTCCGGCAGAGCACACTCTGTGAGCCATGGCGACGCAGGAACTCGATCGAGTCGAATCCGCGACCCTCCGACGAGACGAATATGGCCGAGTTGATGCGACTGCGTGTGCAGCGCTCCGATATCGATGTGGACCGCTCCTCGGCGAGCATATGGATGTGCTGTAAGACAGAGATTCATTAGAAAAGTAGTTGTATATTGAAGAATAATTGTTATCTTTGCAGTTTGTTTCTCTTACGCGGCTATTGCAGTGCAACGGTGGGTGAGCAAAGGTGCCGCCACATTCACTGCTGTCGAACTGTATTCTCAACGATATATAGAAGTTGAATGACAGAGAGAGAACGAAAGAGAGAGACATGGAAGAGAAAGAACAGATAAAGAGAGAGACCCATAGGTGGAAAACAAAAACAAAGTATCAGACTTTACGCACACACTCACACGCGCGCGCACACACACACACACACACACACACAACTTGTAAATCGAAGAACAGGAATTTCAGTG